ATTTCAATCGATGCAGCCTTGAGCTCTCCTGGTTCTCAAGTGTGGAAATGTGAAACTTGAAAACATCTGCCTCTTAGAATAAAAGATTTACAAGTGTGCTGCCACAAGTCCTTTTTTAATAATGTGGTGATCTAAAGGGCTCCTAAAACTGCTGTGAAGGTCACGCATCTAGAGATCAGACATCGTCTCACGGGTGTATTACACGCTGTACCTCTTCCATGGTCTTCTCTGTGGCCGGAGGGATGATGTTGACGTGCTGGCGAGGGATGTTCTCCGGAAACTTCTCCAGGATCTTGTTCTGAGCATCAGGTGGCGTCTCGTGGTGACCTGTGGAGAGAAACACACTGCTGTTGAGCACACACACACACACACCATACCTCATTAAAGAGAAGAGGGAAGATACTTATTAACAATCATGACATATTTACAAATCACAAAATCCATGCTTTTAGTAGTGCTGGGCAACGATTAATCGCATCCAAAATAAAAGTGTGTGTGTAGAATGCACACATATGCATGTCTATTTCAGTTGTATTTAGTGTATATTTAATTACATGATATATAAATATTTTAAATTAGGGCTGTCAATCGATTAATCGTGATTAATCGCATCCAAAATAAAAGTTTGTGTTTACATAATATATGTGGGTGCACTGTGTATAATTATTTTGTATATATATAAATACACACACACACATGCATGTATATTTAAGAAAAAATTATTATTTATATATAAAATATTTATATATAATATAAATTATATAAATCTATACACAGTATCTACATGAAAATATTTCTTAAATATATACAAGCATGTGTGTGTATTTATATATAAAATAATTATACACAGTGCACCCACATATATTATATAAACACAAACTTTTATTTTGTATGCGATTAATCGCGATTTATCGTTCGACAGCCCTATTTTAAATATAAATAACACATTTTTCTTTCTTTCTGTATTTATATATACAACATAATTACACACACACATATATATTATGTAAAAGCTCTTATCTTAGAGCTCTAGTTTTTGGCAAACTTTTAGATCACTTTTGCATTGGCGCTTTAGCACTGTTCTCTACACAGCATGAAGATGCATTGTGACTGTCACTGTAAAGTTTCCAGCGTCTCCACTAGAGGGCGTGATGGACACACACACACACGCACACACAGAGTGTGTACCTATCAGCAGGAGAGAGTTCCTCATGAAGTTGATGCGGTTCCTCTCTCTGAGCACTGCGCTGAACTTCACTGTTGTGCTGGGAGTGATCACACACTCCTGGTCATCTTCCATACTCGAGTCCTGGTTACTGGGACCCTCCAGCATGGGAAACGTCCTGCCACGGGGCTGAAATACACACACACACACACGTTATGAGCATGCATGCACTCGAACAGCACTAGGGACTCTTCAAACCTAAATAAAAATGTCAAAATCTGTATTTAAAAAAAAAAAAACCTATTACTGCAAAACTCACTCGACTGTAAACACTTTTCCAAAGTCCTACTTTATTTCCGACATTCCCATAGCTTAACACTCTGAAAATGATATAAGGGATAGTGAAGTAGTCTATGATTCAGAAATAGAAAAATCTGCTTTAAAACTCATGTTCTTAGAAATCATTATTTGTATTCATGCATTAAAGGAGTAGTTCACTTTAAAAAAAGAAAAAAAAACTTTTGCTGATAATTTACTCACCCCCATGTCATCCAAGATGTCTGTGTCTTTCTTTCCTCAGTCGAAAAGAAATTAAGGTTTTTGATCAAAACATTCCAGGATTTTTCTCCATATAATGAACTTCAATGGGAACCAAACGGTTCAAGGTCCAAAAGACAGTTTCAGTACAAACTGTTCAAAGGGCTTTAAACGATTCCAGACGATGAATAAGGGTCTTATCAAGCGAAACGATCGCTCATTTAATAAATAAATAACAAAGTTTAAGTTTTATAAGCTCAAATGTTCGCCTTGCTCTGTTCTGTGTGACTCTCCTGTTCAAACTCATTTATCAAAATGAACGAACCTTTTCCCGAGTCAATTCGTTCATTTTGTTCGTTGAATGAACCAAATGACTGAAAAAAAGATTTGTTCATTTTGATGAACGAGTTCGAACAGGAGTGTCACGAACGCTCATCACAAAACAGAGCAAGGCGAGCACTTGAGCTTATAAAATTTAAACTTTGTTATTAATTTTTTTAATGAGCGATCATTTCGCTTGATAAGACCCTTATTCATCGTCTGGAATCGTTTAAAGCCCTTTGAACAGTTTGTAGTTTGCACTGAAACTGTCTTTTGGACCTTGAACCGTTTGGTTCCCATTGAAGTCCATTATATGGAGAAAAATCCTGGAATGTTTTCATCAAAAACCTTAATTTCTTTTCGACTGAAGAAAGAATGACATGGACATCTTGGATGACATGGGGGTGAGGAAATTATCAGCAAAAGTTTTTCTAAAAGTGAACTACTTCTTTAACAAAAAAAATCTCATACTCATCATATATATAAAAAAATAAATAAAAATAAATCAAGCAATTGTCTTGTGGTCTTTGTAGTCAGATCAGTAGTTGTAACTGATATTTTTCACTTTATGCACAAACATAATTTATGAAAATTGATTAACAAATTAAAACACCCATCATATTAAAAAAAAAATCAAGTAATTGAAATGGCATTTTATAATTGCATTATAAATTATTTAATAAATAAAAGAGTCACTAATGTTGACCTGTTTTTAGAAATCAAAGTTGTCAACTTCATTGAAGACAAAAAAAATTTATTTAATCTATCTATCTATCTATCTATCTATCTATCTATCTATCTATCTATCTATCTATCTATCTATCTATCTATCTATCTATCTATCTATCTATCTATCTATCTATCTATCTATCTATCTATCTATATATATATATATACATATAAAATCAATGTAAGCATGAAGTCCTATAAGTGTATGAGGAAACTCATATTTGAGGTTTTTAAAGCTACTCACCACAACAGTAACTCCATCATGCACCAGTGAGGGGGACGCGTACAGACCAGTGGAGTGTTTCCCCACATACAACGTGGACCTGTCAGAACACAAACACAGCTCATTATTCAGAGCTTCATCTTCAAAGGTACATACTCTGCCTGTAAATAGCTTACCAAAGAACTGCTAAGTGTTATACAGTGGCTAATCTTTATTTATCCAGGCAATAACAGTACATACTGAAAGTCTTTTTGATGATGACGACAACACTCCCAGAGAGAGATCTATATAGCAAAGAGTGAAGTTTGAGCTTACTCTAGTTACTGTATTATGCACTATATGGACAGAAGTATGCACCTCTAAAACTGAAGAGTGTACCTTAAATGTTGTTTATATGTCTATGTGGTGTTTTTAATATGCTTTAAGACAAACCATGTGTAAATTCACAAGTCGAGTATTTCCTCCTTAAAGGGATACTCCACTTTTTTTGGAAATAGGCTCATTTTACCACTCCCCCAGAGTTAAACTGTTGGGTTTTAGCGTTTTTGAATCCGTTCAGCCGATTTTTTTATATTTAGAAGAATATCAGTAACCAGACAGTTTCTGGTCTCAATTGACTTCCATAGTAATTTTTCCTACTATGGAAGTCTTAAAATCTTATGAACAACACATTTGTGATTTGTGTATTACTACGTCAAACTACGATTTCCAGAACCAGTTTTCCCCACACTTCTTGAAAGACAGACAGGATGTGGCTTAGATGTGACTTGGAGATGCGACAAGTCAAATCATGTCAGCTCAGCAAGAGCCAAATAAGAGTAAAAAAACGTGGCTTTGGCAAGTAAACGTGAAAGAAAATCAAGAGGTTGCATGAGCAACACTGTTGATGAGGTTTAAAGCTATTTGGTCCCACTTTATACTAAGTGGCTCTAAGTACTATGTACTAACATCGAAAACTAAGTACAATGTAGTTATTGTGTGGATGTTGTACTGCTATTGAAGGTGTGATACGGGACAGTGTGTGTGGTGCGGGTTAGTATAAAGGGTGCACAGCAAAATCCCCAGTGTTAAATTAATGGATGGGAGCCATGAATGAGT